TTTTTATTAAAATAAATGAGTCTAATCTATTTTTAAACTAAAAAGTAACATGTGAACAGATGTTTACATGTATAATATATATATATTTATATTCAATTTAGTAATGAAAACATAAATTATAAGCATACACCATATATATATATATGTTGCATATATGTGGGGGGGTGTGTGTGTGTGTGTGTATATATATATATATATATATAATATAAAAGGAGCGGTTGGATTGGAAAAAGGACCTACCCAATAATTCATTCATACATCTCTCTATCTAGTCTCTCCCCTACCTATCATTAAAGCCTGCATGACTTCAATAATTGCAATGATCCCAAAAGCATGACATATCTGACCTGGTCACATCCTCTAGATGATATGCTTACACACATATACATACATACATATATATATGTGTGTGTGTGTATATATATATATATATGTGTGTGTGTGAATATACATGCGTTTTGTGAATTTTTAATCACCACATATTATAACCCGACCCGCCCCACGCCTGTGGGACCACCCTCCCATCCCACGTATTTATCAAAATCTCCGAACCCCACACGGCCACACCAGATTTAATTAATACAAAAGATTAAAAAAAAAAAAATTAGTCTCGTTATAAATTAATTATACAAAAAATATTATTTATATTATATATATTAAAAAAGAAATAAAATAAAATTGGTGAAATTTAAATTACAGTTTTATCAGTAGTCAACAATGATTCTGCCATTGTAGGATGTCAAAGTTGAACTCATTGGATACCTATTTTCTTGTCTGTTTTTTTCTTACATTGTACTTTAGTATTCTTTCAAAAGGGATTTAATGTTATAATTATAATATATAATATATATGTTATAAAATAATTATAATATAAGTATATGACTTTGGTGCTTGATTAAAAGACACAAAAGAAGATTTTGCCACAACCCTTAAACACAATCCAACTTTCTCTTGGAATAGTAAAAAGATTGGTCTCTTTGTCTGCCCAAAATTAATTATTAATTAAGCTTATTATAATTATTATTATAAAGATTGGTAATCTTTGTCTGCCCAAAAATTAATTATAAATTAAACTACTAACAATTATATTATAAAAATAATATAAAGTGTCGAGTTTAATTATTATGGTCAAACGCCTCATTTTTCCCCCCCTCTTTCACCTGTTCACGCATCACGCTTTTACTTTTAAATCTGGGTTCTGGCTCTCCTCTCGGCCAATCATTGCTTGCCACGTACCCCTCTTGTCTCCTACTTCCGCTCGTTTGGTTGGTGACTTGGCGGTTCCAGCACACGAGAATAAGAATTACACAAGAACTCTGTGTAATTTTTCAGTAAAATAAAATTCATTATTTTGTATAATATTATATAATTTAAATTAAATATAAAATTTATTCTAACATTAGTTATAGTCCAAATAAATATACTAACCACGTATTTAATTAATCGTTTTAATAATTTAATTAAGTGATTTAAAACATTATTAATTGGATTATCATTTTGAGAACAAACAAAAACCAAACAGGTCTCTGTTCGGCCCCGAATCATTGTGTTTGGTCACAAGGACATTGATCATTTTGCACATATACACTACATATATATATATATAGACATGTATATCATCATCATCATCATCGCAAGTGATTAGGTGTATAAATATATATATATATATATATGTAGTTAAATAATCTGTTGGTATAATTGCGATTATCAAAGAATTGAACTTGTCATTTTTTTTTTTTTGGGGGTAAAAAATATCATACACATACACAACAAACACTAAAATAAAACGTGATGAGATGATCCCAGCCGTTAGATGGGAGTACATCTTCCGTTGACCGTGATGATGTGGGCCAGTGTTTGGATACATCTCACAACACCATAATTTTGTACACAATAATAATTTGACCAAAAGTTTGAAACACATAATCAAAGGATATCTTCGTCCAATTAAATATTTATTATTTTTCGTGAAATTTTTAATTAATTAAGTTTATAATGTAATAATAAATTTGATATTTTTGGTAAGATTGGAAGTTAAAGTTTGAGAAATATTAAAATGGGTTATGTGGTATTTATATATATATGGATATAAAATATAATATGATTAATATATAATTATTGGGGATAAGCAAGACATGCTAAATGGTAAGGTTGATTACTCAGACAAAATCTAATATCCCTCGCATTCTCTCTCTGGATATGTCGCGTAAGAAACAGAGTATATAAATATACAGATTCACGTGCGTTCGTCAACCAGGATTTGTCGGTCAATCTTTACATAAACAAATTAAAAACCTTATCTGTGAGAGAGAGAGAGAGAGAGAGAGAGAGAGAGAGAGAGAGAGTGTTGTAATGGTGGTGGTCATGGTGATTCCTGTGTTTACATTTAAAAACCTTCCATAGGGTTTTCTCTCCTCTTCTTCCTCATCAAGCACTCCCCTCTCTCTCCTTTCTTTCTCTTTCTCTTTCTTTATATATATATATATATATCTGTTGTATCTGATTTGTGGGTGCTGCTAGAGATGGAGTTAGCTTTGAGCTTGGGTGATACCTCGAGGCCACCATTTCCGTTTCTTGATAAGACTAATAAGATCTCCGCTGGTGGCGATCTAGGTTTTTGCATGGGATTAGGGACCGGTTTTAGTCCTGGAAGATCACAGGAGAATGGAGAGGCGGAAAAAACTGGAAGAAACGGAGACGATTGTCGGAGATCGAGGTTCCCAGCAGATCCACCTTTACAACTTGATCTGCTTCCTTTCTCTCCACTTCCTCGCTCCCAGCAACCTCCTTCTCAGCTTCGTCTTCCTTGGCTCACTCATAACTGTAATACCCACTTTCTATTTTATATATTTTCTGTTTGGATGCTGGGAAAATTTGAAGGAAAATAACAAAACAACTATAATATAATTACTCTAATGACCTTTTTCGAGATCTGGGTTTAGTTTTCTTATTTTGTTCCTTTTTTTTTTTGTTTGTTCTAATAAACATGCATAGTGAGGAGCGAGCCAGATGGAGCGGGACATGGGTTAGATGTGAATCGGGTACCGGCGGCGACAGAGGAGACGGAGGAGGGGATAACACTGTCATCGTCTCCGAACAGTACGGTGTCGTCTTTCCAGATGGAATTTGGGATCGGAGGGAGAAGCAAAAGAGAGACGGCGGAGATAGAACCAGAGAGAGCGAGTTCAAGAGCGAGTGACGACGACGAAAACGGGTCAACTCGGAAGAAACTCAGACTCTCCAAACAACAATCCGCTTTTCTCGAAGAAAGCTTCAAAGAACACAACACCCTCAATCCTGTAAGTCAAATTTTCTTTCCCTTACTGTTCTTCTTCCTTCCTTTTTTTGGTGGGTAAAAGAAATTTTTTAATTATTCTCTTAACAAATTCGCAGAAGCAAAAGCTTGCATTAGCGAGACAGTTGAGTCTTCGTCCTCGTCAAGTCGAAGTCTGGTTTCAGAACAGACGAGCCAGGACAAAACTGAAGCAGACGGAGGTGGATTGTGAGTATTTAAAGAGATGCTGCGAGACATTGACAGAAGAAAACAGGAGGTTGCAGAAGGAACTGCAAGAACTAAGAGCTTTGAAAACTTCTCAACCTTTCTACATGCAGCTTCCTGCCACAACTCTCACCATGTGCCCTTCTTGTGAGCGCGTTTCTCCCACTCTCCCGTCCTCCGGCGCCGGCTCCGGTTCCAGCTCCGCCAACCCACAATACCCTTTTCCCCTAAAACCACACAAGGGACCCCAACCAGCTGCTTCGTGAAAATTCCCATGGTCAAACTCACTCGAGACCTCATCGGAAAATAGTCAAATACATTTTCTTTACCTTTTCTTTTTATCTTCCTTGTAAATATATATATATTTTTTGTTTGGGTTTTTCTTTTTCTTCTTTATTTTTGACTCTCCGGTTAGTAAAATCTTGTGAAATGGGAAATTAGGGGTAGTGGAAGAATTTTCTGTTTGACGGGAAGGAAAATTGGTTGGGGGGGTGGGGGGAGAAATGTCTTCTTTGACTGGTGACGAGGAAGTGGGAAAATTTTGTTAGGGGGGATAAAAGAAAGCTCTGGCTGTTTTGCTTTGACGAAGGAATTAATGGGTTTAATTTTTTTTTTTTTTTTTTTTGTTTCTCTATGTTCGTTTATTAGTTTTTGTAAGTTACACTTTTCCATTTTGTTGTGTCATATATATATATATATATATAATTATGTGTGTGTATATGTACATATATATTTATATATATACATACATACATACATACATACAAAAATCATTTATGTAGCACACGAGAATAGACCACCGTTTCATTTAATTCTCAATGCTCACATCGTCATAATACGAAAAATGGGTTATTGAATATGATAATAATTTGTATATTTAAAGGTGTGGGTGTGTGTGTGTGTGTGTGTGTGTGTGAATATATGTGGGTGTAAGTTAATTTAAGTACAAAATATTGAGAACGATTTACAAAATCATAATAATTAAACCTCTAAACTATTTTAATTAAAAATAAGACTATACTTTAAATCAAAATTAATACAAGATTTTGAGTTCATTTAATTACTCGATACATAATTACAAATTTATACACTCAATTTTCGAGGAAATGATGAACAATCATAAAAATACGTGTATTAAATTGGAACATAAAATTAATTTTAAAATTAAAATAAGTATTTTTTGTTCTATAAAATCGAAATTTGATTAGTTCAAAACTAAATTAATTTATAATCATTAAATAATTATAAATATCACATTCAATGGGATGGGAAGGCGCCTACCACCACTTTCTTCAATTCATGTTTATCTCATGAGTTACAATTACTTAAATTTTGAAATTAATTTTAATAATTACAATTAAATTAAATTAAATTAAATCATGTTTTTGACCTAATTAATAATTATGATTAGTCCATTCTCTCTACTTGCGAGGAAATTAATCATAACCCATTAAAGGTTTGTTTGGCAAACAATGATTTGCAAGTCATGGGTCTCCCTTCCTTTTTTTTTTTTTTTTTACATCAAAAGCTTCCATCTAAATTTTGACTTATAATTACTTCTACATATATATATATATATATAGAGAGAGAGAGAGATATATATATATATATATATATAACACACTATATAATTATATAGAGATATAAATTAAATAATTAAAAAATTCTTTACCCAATTATGTGATTGTTGAACCGTCAATATATATATATATATAATGAAAATATTTATTTTTCTTAAAAGGGGAAAGTATTACATACAATATATTGCACCTTGCACATGTATACACCCAACATATTCACGTTATATATAAGCAAAAGTCATAATTACAATCGTGTTCTATTTGAAATTTTCAACAAAGTCACAAATCACGTGAATTTTCAAATTCTATAATCAATTCTTTGTCAAACACAAATCATTACATACAACACACATTTATTATATATATATATGTGTGTGTGTGTGTCGATATAAAGAAATTATAATAATTCTGAATTTCCTAAAGATTTAATAAATTACGTAATCTAGAATAGTTCTTCTACATTTATGAAATTTTCAACATGTAATATGCTTTTAATAATTATTTATTCTGAAAAATTTGCAAATTAAGGATATTGTGTGTGTGTATATATATATATGTATATATATATTTGAAGTAGAAGGCAAGACAAACGTGACAACCGGTGTAATGACGACGTGGCGAATGTGATATAAATAATTTAGAGTGACATTCAAAATAATGTTGAAAAAATATACAAGTAGAGTCTAGGTGTCCTTTATTTTCTAAAGCAATAAATATATTTTATTTTGTTTTACTTAATTAACAAATTAAATATTTTTCGATCTAAAATTTAAAATAATTAGTGTAATTTGGGGGGGTGGGGGGGGGGATTTATAAATCGTTGTGTTGAATTTTTTTTCGACACGTGAGTTTAATGTGGATTTTGTTATGCGTATCAAGTTATCAATTTAATGAACCGATTTAAAAATGATAAAATATGGTTAAAACTGTAACTGACTGCGGAAATATTTAAAGGAAATAATTGATAATTAAAGTGCATAAGCGAAATAAATGTTCAAGTTTTACATTACTTACACAATAAATTAAAGTACCAATTTGTGTTATGGAATTCACAATTTTAAAAGAAATACAAAAAAATGAGGAAATAAACGGAAAATAAAAAAAAAAACTAGCATTCTAATCGCAATCTTTTTACGGACCAATTGGCCGGTCCTTTTCACTCCAATTTGGCTATGAGTGTGTTTAAAATTAAATTTTGAGCAACAAAGAAAATTTTTACCTTTTTTGGCGGTCGGAAATGGCTCTTGCGCGACCACGGGAAGCGGTGGTCTCCTTCCCAGCAGTTGGGTCTTCTTCTCTGGCGATGGGGTTTGGCGGCTAGGGTTAGAGTTTGGTGTGGATGAGAGTTATTTATAACAGTTTGCATTTAATTTGGACTGTCCATCGTGTTTGATTTGGACCGTCCGATCGCACTGGGGAGGGAACACATCTGGACCGTTCGTGTACGCGGACACACAGATCGTTCACGTGGCCTCCCGTGTGGCACTGCATCAGTGTCCGTTGCCACACGACGCGTCCTGATTCATTGGGACTGCTGATCGGGCATCCGACATAGCAAAATTTTTTTAAATTATATTTTGACCCCGTTTTCTGATTTTTTTAAAAAAAAAATACTTCCAAAACCCAAATTTTCACCTATTTCTCCAAAATTATTTTTAATTTCATTATCCATCAAATTTATTTCATTTTTACTCCAAAATAAAATTTAAAAAAATTAAAAAATTACATTTAAATAAATTTAATTTACATTAAATTCAAACAAAACAGTATTGTGTTTTAATGCATCGGGTTTAACTATAAATTTATAATGTGTAGATACTATTTTTGTAATATTCTTATTTTATGATGGACGAAATAAAAATTACAAAATTTGTTGGTATAAAAGGTAGTTATAGTTTCTGAATCACAAACTCGTCATTTTATTTTTCTGAATTTTCGTCACCAGAAAAAATTAGTTCTTGAAACATCGTGTTGATTTTAAAAGTACCTACCGTATGACGCGATGTAATATTCTACGATTGATCCATGTACGCTCCCGTTTATCTTTTCTCGTTAATTCAGTGAGAGTTTGCGTGTTCAGATTTACAAATTTATTGATTTGAAAAGTATTTTTACTGTAACACGTTATTAATGGAGTTAACACTTCCAAAACTTGAGAAGACGGTATCGATTTATGTCTAATTGCTTAGCTACACGTCAACGCAAAACCCGATTTGGTAACTGAATTCAAATATTACCGAATCAAATTACCGTAAGTTCATAATATATCTATAACGATAACTTAGTTTTATGTTATGGATATGGAGTTTAAATTTGTAAATAATGTTAATAGCCTTAATTATTGAATGATTGTGTTTGATGATAGTGTAGATGACTCCAAATCCTTCAATAAATAACTTGACACAAACATTGCGTATAAATGAATATTAGAACTTATTAATTTGCTATAAGTGCTGATTACTTGATCCTCTATGGGTTTTTAGGTTAGATATGTGCTACCGTATTTGGTAATAATGTATTTATAATTGTCACCCATGATTGACTTTATATTTTGATGCATGCATATGTGCATGTACCTATACATACATACATACATATATACATATGTAATATAAAGGGTATATAGAAATTTTTTTATTAAAAAATTCACACATATTTCAATTAAAAAATATTATATTTTTACACGGTTTAATTAAATACAATATTTATACAAGTTTGTAACCCTTTAAGCCTTGAGTTGGAGGATCCATATAATGTGGGCTTTAATTTGAATAAAATTATATATAATTGGGTTATATTATAAATATCTATTTATTTGGGTATTATTTTACTTTTTTTTTTTTTTTGGGGCAATTGGGAATTGTCTTAATGGGCTCTTTGACTTTTCTTAATGGATTTTCTTTAGCCCAATATATACATATACACACACACATTTAACCAAAAATATATATATATATATATACAAATCTACACACGAGTATTTATAGGGAAGTATATGAAAATTTTGAGTTTAAAAAAAAAATTAATTTTCTTAAAAAATTAAGACCACTTTTAAAAATAACTTGAAATGTTAATAAGTTAATATAATTGACGAATGAATCACGACAAGATTAATTTTTGTTTTTTCGTAATAAAAATACATACAGTAACACAATTCGATTCGTACTAATTATTTAATTAGTGAGACCCGAATTTTAAAAATAAGCCGACTTAATTAAAATACTTGTTACAATATATTTTTTAAATAATTAGAAAAAAAAATATTCCAATAACTTGAAAATTTTGAATAATAATAATAATAATAATAAAAAGGATGTGATAATTCAGTATATTTAAGGGGGCCCAATACATTATTAATCATTATGTAAAATAAGTAATTTTTTTAACTCCTAATTATACAACTTTCATTTTCACATGTCCACACACACACACACGCACGTGTGTGTATATATATAAGTAAATCTTGTCTAATCTAAAATTTGATACGTAGATGAAGTAATTATTATTATTGAATTTTCATCTATCGTGAATTTTATTGTACATAAAAAATTATTAATTTTATTAAATCACGTTTAAAAATATTTAATTATAATACATTTAATAATATATAAATTAATTTTATAATAAATTAAATAAAAAATAAACAATATAAATTGAGATGGACCCACAACGCGTTATACCAAAAATGAACATGCCAGGAATCACCGACACTACTCTTTAACGTTCAAAAACATGACGCAACTTTAATAATAATAATTATTATTATTATTATAAAGTTTTTAAAATAAAATTAATCCCTTAATTATACATGCCATGTGACAAGCTTTTATTTTTAATTAATCTTCAAAATTCATTTAAATATATATATATATGTATATGTATATATATTTTCTTAGTACATCAAAATATTTTTTCAATGAAGGAAGAACAAGAAAATGAATGAAACAAAGAATTTTTCAATATAAACATTTTCTCCCAAATTGGAAAAAGAAGAAGAAGAGATTAAACACTAACAATAACAACAATCCCTCCAAGAATAATCTCTTATCTATTCTTTATTTTCTTCCCCCATTTTTAGGGTTTCTCTCATAATTTATGAAGTGCAGAAGACACTCTCTGATCTTTCTTTCTTCTCTACAATTTCCAAAAACTAAATAGAACGAAACAAAATTTCACAGAAAGAAAACTATACTGCGAGTGTGATTTTCATCTCAATATTTTCAATGGAGATCAATAATGTTGAACTCTATCTTCGTGTAATTTCTGTGGCTGGTTTTGTTTTTTTCGTTTTTTTTTTGTTTTTTTTTTACCGGTTAACTAAGATCTTCTCTGGTGTTGTCGCATCTTGCTCTCTTTTACCAGGAGCTCGGCGTAGAAAAGCTCGTTCCAAGAATCTGGTACGCCCGGAAGACACCAGTGGCTGCAATCCTGGAACCTCAGGGGTGATCTTCTTTCCTCTTCAGGCAAGTTCTGCTTCCGGTAGACCGAAGGGTGTCCGTCCTTCCGGTAATCAGTCAATCTGGTGATGTTTAGGTAGGTGACATGAGTTTTCATCCCCTTCAATACCTTCTCAAGTACCACCATTTTAGACGGGTACGGAGTTAGGTATGTTTCGTTCTTGATTGGCTCGGTCTCGCTATCGCATGCTCCTCCCGAATTCCATTGCCCGCCGCTGTAAACATCAACACAACTCCGAAATGAGCATTGGTTTTTACATGCTCAATCCATAACCATTTTTTGGCTAAAACAGCCGAGTATTTTTATCTATACTGGCCTAGTTTATCACCAAACTACAAGACATGTTTAATAGTATTGCAGCATTATTTGCTGTTCAGCTTAGCTTTACCTGAAATGGGAAGCAGAGTAGCCTCTGAAGAAAACTAGAGATTCTTCCGGGTTTATGTTTGCGTCAACCCATCTTGCCCATGTCGTTAAAGCTTTTCGAAAAGCCTCTAGCACATTCAATTCGTTGTAGATATGGCTGCCTTCTTGGTAGTAATCTTTCCTGCAAGGTTTTTTCCATGGCAACGAACATTTTTCTCAAATGGGTATTCAAGTAAAAACCAAAAAACAAAAATTCTGATAGTAATAGACTAAGTCTACACTAGAAATAAATTCAAGAAGTTTTGAAATTTACTTGCAAATTTACACTTAAAATGTTGGGTTTTCATTATTTTATCCTAAAGCTCTCCGAGTGGCAATTAACAAATGAACTTGATAAAACTTCTCAATTTGTTCCAAACACAGACTAAATCGAAATTAATTTAAATTATGGAGTTACCCTTTAGCAGTTTTATCATGAGTCCACCAATGTCCAGTGTTGAAGATGATAATCTCAGCTCCCTTGTACTGATCAGAAGACCTTCCTACTAAATCCAGCCTTAATGTCTCCTTTTTAATTCCATCTTTCCCAGCATATTCCCATTCTTGAACCAAGAAAGGAGACACAAAGAACTCTACCGTGAAGTTGTAATCCTAATCCATCATCAACCCAGAAAAAAACATACACAATAAGTTTTTGGAAAAAGAAAATAAGATCAAGAAAAGCCAAAGAATTGATTTAAAAAAGCCATAACATACTTTAAATATAAATGAATATTCAGCTTCTCCTCTAAAGACCTGCCTTCCATGAGCTTCAAAAACCTTACTTTGATCTTTTACTGAGCCCTTAAGAATACAGACAAGAGATTCCCACATGTTTCTATTTAAGGAATCACCCACAAAAACAAGGCGCTTTCCTCTTAGTAATTCCAACATATGAGCGCCATTAAACCTGTTAATGTCAATTTTCGTGTGATGATCAGATTCCAATTTAAGCAAAACACAAGGTTAAAAAGTAACATCAATTGTTCAGGCTTATTAGTAAAATTTAGAATTAAAAAGAACCCAGAATTTTGATGGGTCAGTTTGTAATTAAAAGAACTTAATATTAAGAGCAAACCCAGAAATTTTTTAATCAACAAAAAAAATATAATAATAATTAGACGCAAAAACAAACTCATACTGAATTCAAGTGCAGACCTGGGTAAACTGCAGCCCTTTGGCTTCCACTTGTATTTCTGATAATTCGTATCAGGCCTGCCATTGAGGATACAGTTAAATTGCTCATCGATCAGTTTACATGACCCCGGGTTTGTAAAGCGGGTACGAATCATCCATCACCCATTCGCCATCAAGAAATCGCAATTCATTAGAGACTGCATCCAATTCTCAATTCCC